TTAAAAGGCCTGATTGTATTATTTGGGATGTATGTATCACTGTGTATTGATCTCATTTCTTTTCTTTAGAAGGGAATTTAATCAAAACATTTTCATTAAAGCATTGTTAACTATTGCAAATGTGTGTATTAATATATTCTATTACATTTTCTAGATCATTAGTTATACTAGTTTTCTTGGTTACATATTTCCCTAAATTATCCATATTTTTTTTAAATTCATTCTTAGTATATGAGTAATTGCTTGAAGTTTTTCGAATTAAAGTATTGTAATATATCTCTTGAATGTATTTAATTATTTCAAATGTATTTGAATCAACATTATTAACATGATCAGAACATATATCAAGAGATGTTTTATCAATTATATATAATTTGTCATTATATGTTTTAATTAAATTGCAAATCGTTATATGGTCTAGATATAGGCATGTATGTTCTTATAATAGTTCTTGTAGCTTGTAAATAAAATATGCACAGCTTAATTTTACATATTTATTATTAGAATCATATAATTTCTTAATATGATATAAATAGAGAACAAGCTCTAGAGAATAGTGCAATAAAATTTGTTTTTTATTTGTACACTTGTTTAGATAATTATTAATATACTGCTGGAAGAGATTTATTAATTCAGGTCTTACATGGTTATCCATTTTATAACCATCTTTATCTGTATTATAATCATTTCTACAATGGTGGAATATATCATTAAAATTAATTCATAAATTAAAGTCATAAGTATACAAAATTTTAAAATAAAATTTTTAAGAATATTCTATTTTATTAATTCAATGAAATATATATATTTAAAAAATTATATAGAATACATTTTATTCATATTAAAGAATATGAAATATCTTCTTCATATCTGTAAGTCTTAGACATTATGCTTTACATATGTTATCTAATAAAAAAATAAGTTGTTCTTCTCTGATAAAAAAATTTAGTATGTTAAAAACTTCAGTATCTATGTTATTTAGAGTGCAGATTTATTAAATCTTTTGAGGTTCTATATTATACAAATTTATTTGAGCTATATAATTTTGTTACATTATACATATATATGAAAAATATATATATTATTCAAGTGATATTATTTGAATTACATGTAAATGCATAATACGATAACTTGATTAATTTTATTGATTTTAAAATTTATTGTTCAAGGTTAAATGTTTCGTATGTTTTATTATTTGTTACTGATTTTAATTGGATTTTATTTTAATGATTTCTATAAATATTCATGTATTTTATATTCTTATAATTGTTGGCTTATATTAATGGAATAACAGATATTAGCATTTAATATTGTGCTATTAATCAATATGTATAAATATTATATATGTTTCCTCCTTATTATTTATTATAATATTTGTTTAATTTACAATTATAGATTTTTTGTGTTATGCTATTTTAGAGGGGATACAGTATAGGTTTTTTGTTAAAGTATAGGGCTTATTATTTTATTTTTAATTAATGCATGTAATTATAATGTAATATATTATAATTCATATAATATATATATACATTATTAACTTATATATATGTTTTTTAACATAATTTTGTGTTTTTATTATAATATTATATATATTAGAATTTATTCTTATGTTATTATGAAATAAAAGTAATTATTATATATTTTTACATAAAATAATATATATATATTTTTGATACATATATTTAAAGAAGATTGACTGAATTCTTGAATCATTTAACTCATGTAAATAAAAAAAAAATAAAGCATCCCAGCATTCTTTGCAATATATGAAAGTGAGTTCATAGCTAACATAGAAAATTTATTTTTAATCGCGTTTTTTCTAGAGAAGGTTCCCTAATCTGAAGAAGGAACTGTTGTTCATTTAAATCTTTAACATTGCATGTAGTATGAAAATAGTATTGAACATTATTTCTTATATAAAATTTTCTTTGTAGGTTTTGGGTAAATTTCATAAAAGATTGGTTTGCACATGTCGTTAATATGTATACATCTGTGTAGTGTTTCAATTGCGTAAATAATATACTCTTAGAATTTTCAGAGGTGGGATATTCTACCTTATTCTCTATGAATAAAAATTGTCCGTTTTGAAAAGATGGAAAATGTAATGTGTGCACAATTGTGCTGTAGCAAAGGAGTTTTTCCTTTGTAGAGATAAAGTTATCATCTATTTTGAAACCTACAATTAGCAATTTCATTTTTATACAATTAATGGGTTACAATACATGAGAAATTCTCTCAATATGACTAGATTCCAATGTCAAAATGATGCAGTAATGTTTTTTTCTCCGTGAATTTGACAGATTTTAATGTATATAAACGATTGAATTATATGAACAAAATTTATTAGTTTCATCTCTGATATTGTAAAAAATAAAATGTTGCGAAATTAGTCTATAATGAAAAATAAAAAAATAGAAAAACATCACATTCATTTGGGAATTATGCTTGGATTGGTGTCTCAACTTATCGCTGAGATGGGATCACATAAACAGAAAATAAAAATAAAATAAAAAACATATAAAAAAGAGAACATAGTGTAGTTATTGAAAAATAAAGAAAGTAGAACATGGAATGGAAATGAATATAATATTTCATTGTAGACAACCCATATGGGTTATAGCTTCCGGCATGTGCTATTTTATGGATATATATCATAAATACAATTTATATATTTTATTTTTATATAATATATATATATATATATATATATATATATATATATATATGTAATTATTATGTGTGCTCCTTAATTTGTGCATATATATTTTATTGCATATGAAATTATTTAAAACATTTAATTGAAAGTGACACATCTGTAAGTAAAAGAAATTATCACCCTTCTATGATTTATTATTATATTCCATTCTTTAAAAAATTTGTAACATAAAGGTATTATGTATCCAAAATGTGAATAAAAAAGAAAAAATGAAATATGTGACAAGGGGCATTGGTAGATAATATTACCAAAAAGCACAAATTTTATAAGTGTATCAGGAATTTCGATAAAGTAATAAAAATTTGTTAGACAAATTTATGAACATATTTGTGGAATTCCGGGGGAATATTTAATAAAACATGATTTATCTTAATTTTATGAAAATGTGGATTTAAAGATTTCTTTCTTTGTTATGTAACAGGGTATATATTTTATGTATTTATTTAGCTCTATTTTTTTTTTTCTGCATGTCATTTATGTGACTATATGGAACCTTAGATATATTTGCAGAAATACTTAACTGTCATGTTCAGTTCAATAATATATGACAATCCATTCTTTTTTTTTGGCGTTTTAATTATTCGTATTTTCTCTTTCCCATATTTAAGGTTATCTACATCGTGGTTAATCCCATTTTAATGGTTTTGTAATTTTTACCATTTCATTAAGAATTAATTTATTGTTACATATTTGTAGCTTTATATAACATATTATATTCACTAATTAAGTTGTAAAAAATTTTGAATTAGGATTTATTTCTTAATTAGGAAACGTTTATACTTACAATATATTGCTTCACAATTTATCACCCTAATTAATTCTCCACCTTTTAAATTTACATGCAATTGAATTGCAATTCGTTTAAATATAAAATTAATAATTAAAATATTGTCAAAAAAATGAAAAACTTTTAAACAATCATTTGGGTAGTAATTAATACATAGGGATTATTCCGCATGTATGTTAATAATGATAGACTTTTACTTAAATAATATGCTGAAAAGTGTTGTAAAGAACGTAATTAAAAAATGATGAAATACAACAACATAAATTTTACACTACAATACTATATTATTTTCTGAATAAAGCGTTTATATATTATTCACGATTTTTGGATAACATAACTACAATGAATTGCAGGATTTTTTATGTAACCCATATGTTTAGAAACTTTAAATGGTAACCAAAAATTGACATATTAAAAATGTATTGTAATAACGATATTACACTTCATAACATTTTAAGTGTGTAAAGATAGTAAAAATGTACTTGATAAAAAAAATTTCCCCACCATGTATTGTAAATAAAATGTAAAACTGTAATTTTGATTAACATATTATATACATTTTGAATGTGATAAATTTAAATGACATTTCAAGGGGCGTTCCGTTAATAGTAATCCATTCTTTTTATGTTATTTGATAAGAATATATCATTTATAATAAAATTATGCAATTCTAATATGTGCATTCTATAGAATAAATTAAATATATAGTGTGATACAAAACGTTTGTTTTTTACTTGTAAATTAAGAAGGAGAAAACTTTGAATCCTTTGCAATAACAGTATATAATATATTCTAATAAATTAAAAAATATATATATATTAGTGATAAATAAATTATATTTATATAGTGCATTCTTATGAATTTTTCTTATTTAATAGGAATTCTTAATTATGCATTTTAATTATGTGGAATGTAATTATTTATGCATGGAAGGATATTTTATAATATAATGTTATATTCTTATATTACTAAACCACGCATCAATCGATACTTTTTAATAACATCGATTTGAAATTAAAAGAGGAATATTTATTATTAGAGTGAAATAATAAATATATGAACATGTATAACTTCAAATTTTATAATTTAAAGCAAAAAGGAGAAAATTATGTGAATAATTCTCCAAAATGGCTATTCAGTATAATGTAAATAATTTTTCGTATAAGTACTTTATAGCATAATCATTTTTCACAAATTAAATTTTTTATTTTATATAATTATATGTTTTTATATAATTGTATTTTTTTTTTTAAGAGTTAATACACATATGAGCTTCCATAACATTCTACATATATAATCTCTTTCTATGTTATTTTAATGATAGTACTATAAATAAAACATTAGCTATAATTAGAAAATACGCTACTATGAAATATACATTTTTATTTAAAAAATTAATATAAAATGATTAATTATTTTATTAGTGTATTGTAGAATTATATTTTTCACTTATGAATATTTGTATATTGACGGATCACGCGGTTTTGTTTATTTAGCATGTCTAGTGGAACGGATAATTTTTTAAAAAATTTATGTGATGATGTATGTTTATATTTATCATTAAAATGATTTTGGATAAAAAATTAGTGTATTACTTATTATCTTCTTAAAACAAAATAATTTTTTTTTCGATTAGTTAACATTAAACATTTTCATGATCACCATATTTTTTCTATTCGTCAGAAAAATGAGCATTTTAAAGACTTACCTTCGTGCGATGTATACAATAAAATTAAGAATGGTGTAGTAAATTACAAAGAATATGATAGTTATTGTGAAAACTATTGCAAAAAAATGTGTTGTAATGTATGCTGCTACAACTTCTTTAAGGTTGGCAGAAACGAGTGTAGTGATGATTCTAGAAATACTTGTGAAAAAGAATATAATGCTTGTCAGGAAGATATATGCAAGGAGAAATTAAAAAAACGTTATAAAGAATGCAAGGGTATCAATTGGGAAAAATTAATGCGAGGAGACACTGTATGCAAGGATGTTATGAATGAGGAAAATTTAGTAGAGTGTAAAAAAGTTATCAATAATGAACAATTATGCACAGAATATAAACAATGCATAGAAGATATCGATAAAGAAAAATTGAAAGATAATTATATTGAACCATGTAAGAAAATATGTAAAGGAGTGATAAAATTATCCATAATTTTGAGCAGTGAAACAAATTTACGTGACAAATGCTCATACTTTAGTTATTGGGCATATAAAGAATTATGGAACGTAACTAATGGTAATTCCAATAATAAGCTTGATCCTTGTGTTAGTGATATATTGCAGAAGGTAATTTGGACTATTAATTATTATGATGCAAAGGACAACCCATGTTACTTTTACTTTGACGAGGATTTCAATGCATGGAAAAATGAGAAATATTTGCATGACTATTTTAAAAATTGTTCTCAAATAAAAAGTAATCTTGGAGAATCTAAAAATGACGTATCTAAAAAGGAGGAATATTGTAAATACATTGGTAATATTGCGCCACTATATAAAGATTATTTAGGTTATTGTTGTACATACTTTTTTTTACATGGAAATTTTTGGGATAAATGTCCAAACTTCTTTAATTGTGATAAACAATATAATCCGTATAATATGTTAAAGGAATTAGATTGTAAAGATCAACTAAAAGATTTCTCAGAAGGGTTAATAGATGTATTAGAAATTGACCGTGATGTTATAGAAAAAAGTAAAGAAACACGTTTATCTCGTAGAGGAAGATCGACTGAAAAACAAGAAATGAAAGTTCCATTCAGAATTAGCCATCCTGTTACAACTAATAGTTTAATTAAAGATGATATAAGTTTAACAAGTGATCCTATATATGTTACTATATTATTTTCTTACACGATTTTAGGAATGTTCTTTCTCTTTTTTCTCTTTTACAAGGTAAACAATGAAATAACATATATATGTGCAGAATAAAATTAAGTTAACATAACACAGAAATAATATATTTTTTTTTTGCATCACGATTTCTTTTATCAGTTTACACCATTAGGATCACTGATTAATAGGAAAACAATTAAGAAGAAGCAAATGAATCGTAATTTTCAGGAAAATTCTAAACGTAAATTACCATCTAGAAAGTTACAACAGGTTCAAGGAAATACTCGAAAAAAAAGAATCAGTATAGCTTATAATTCTGAATAAGAGAATTATATCGATGTAACTCAAGATAAAACATTGAAGATTTCTAAAATATCATAAGAGATAGATTCCTATATCCTATAATGTATATTTTTTTATACTAAACAAAAAGATAGGTGTAATTAAGTTTAATAAAAAATTAATTTAACTTTGACAGTTTTTCATTGATTTATATTATATTTATTCGCTATTTTTTTTTTTTTTTTTTGAATTGTATCATTAGGAAAATACTATTATTTAAAATGTTTACATTTTTGATTACATATATGTTTTCTAAAATTAGTTATGTTTTTTCGTTTATTACTATACTTCTTTTTTAATGATTACAACTGATTTTAGGTGGGAAATAGCCTGAACTATATTTTTATGTATATTTATTTCTGTTACACTATTATAACTTAATAAATAAATATAAGTGGATTGTGATATCTACATTTATGTTAATGATTAACAAAATTTGATTATTAATTTGAAAAAAAATATATTTGATTTGTTTTATTTTATATATGATATTGTAAAAAAGATAATTCCTTATTAGAAATCTTTTTATCAATAAATATTCAGAAAATATAACATTCTTGTTAATTTATTTTTTTATATATTCTTTGCGTGGAAAAAATATATATTATGCTCTATGTTTTTCAAAGGAATACCATAGAAGAATAATTTCTGCAAAATATAATAATAATAATAATAATAATAATAATAATAATAATAATAATAATAATAATAATAATAATAATAATAATAATAATAATAATAATAATAATAATAATAATAATAATAATAATAATAATAATAATAATAATAATAATAATAATAATAATAATAATAATAATAATAATAATTTGTTTTTAATTAATCTTATATCCTGCTTTTTATTCATCCAAAATTTGAAGATGCTTACCACATAAATGATATATTTCCATATTTATTGCACCTTACAGGTTTTCCAAATTTTTACATATATTCTACCACAAATTACACAAAACGAAAAATTATAAGTATTAAGGATCAATATTAATGAAAATGTATACTGTCATATTTATAAAGAAGTTTTTAAGTAAAGCCATTATTAGGTTATATCTATTATCTAATATATTAATAATAATGTTTTTTTTGTTAATTTTACATTTCTTATATAAAAGAATCGTATAAGTATAATACATTAAATTATAAATTAAGAAAAGCTATATAAACATGAATGATCACTTTTTGCATTACACATTAAACTATTCTTTTACAGTTATTTTCGATATTCATGAATAAACTTACATGTACACTTTCAGTATTTATATATTTGTATACTTGTTTAAATTATGTATTATTAAGCATATACATTTTAAAATATTCGAAAGAAATAAATGTAACTTAATAGATATATATTTAAAATTTATGGATATGTATTAAAATTAATAGATATTATATATTCTGAATTAAATAGATGATTTAACAGTTTGATACTAACTATATGGTTGTTTTTCTTTATTTTTTTGTAATAATTAAATATATATAAATATAATATAAAAATATTTTTATGTATAGAATTCATTTTTTTTATGATGCATTGTAATTAATTTGTTCGTAGATATAGGGGGTTATATTGTTTATGAAATCACAGGAAATTATAATTGTTATATTTTTTTTGATAATTATTTAGATCACTTCGAACATTAGTTTGAATGGAGATACTTGGAAATATATTCGAAAATATTTCATTTATCAAATGTAATATTAGTTCTAAAACTGAAAAAAATTATATACCATAAATACTTTAATTATGTTATTTATTTATTTAAAATGCACAAAGAATATTCTTGTACATATTATAAACTCAAAAAATATAAGGTTTTTACATTTATATTAAATGATATTATGGATGTAACATAGGTTATGTTCTGTACAAATTACAGTTCGTAAGCCATAGAAATTGAAAACAATAAGAAAAAGACACTAAATAAATCATTGTGATAATTATAATTTATTTCTATGTTTCAGTATATACTGTAGAAAACAGGATTTAAATAATAAAGGTCAGAGTAAATTTAAAGAAAATGAAAAATATTTTGTCTAGCTATTTATATACTTCTAAAGAATCAGACCACTGAAACGTCAGTTAAACATAGTAACACAATTTAAATTTATGAAGATTACACTTAACATATTTTTTCTCCATATTAGGAATATTTTCTTTTACTACCTATTTTACAATTTGGTAATTATTCTTTATCATATAAAATGTATAGCATTTTATTAGAATTAGCTTTACTGAAACATTTGTTTTTGTTAAAATGTAATAAGCACATATTATATATATTTTTTATTACTTATGTGTTACTTTACTGCGTTAGTATTGATGTTACTCAAAAAGAGAAATAAAAAAGAAAAAATTAAAAATAATTTTCACTTGAATCCAATGGAAAATTTATAACGGAATACATAAAATTTAATTATTTAATATAAATGTTGTATATAGCGTATAGGCAAGGCTATTCATACATACATTAATGTTATATATAAAATTATGCGCTGATGTCTTAAAATATTCAATTAAATAATTTTATTTAAGATATATAAGTAAATGACAAGTATATATAATAATATTTTTATATATTAATTATAAACACAATGCAACAACAATTGCTACAGAAATTTAAAATTAGGTTAATATAATATAATAAAATTAGTGAAAATATAATACACACAACGAATTGATTTTTAACAAAATTAAATAAACACATTTATTTTTAATTCAATCGATTTTCCTTTTAAAGGACTATTAAAAATTATTGTACACTGATTTTTTTTTTTGCATAATTTTTTATTTCACTTGATTTGGTATTTTGTTCTAAGGTCAGTTTTTTTTTAACTTTACATTAATTTTAATTACACTTCACAATTTAAATAGTTCAGAAATACACTATTTTATTTTATATTATTTTATATCAAATCTTCTACATTGAGACATATATTAATTAATAATTAATTCTTTACAAATATTGTATATTAATAGATTCGTTTTCTGAATGTATTGCCAAATCTATTTTGTTTTCTAAGGGGAGAACATGATTAAAACATTTTCTTAAAAACATACTCTTATTATTTTTATCACATAAAAATCTTTTGATTTTAGTACACTGAAAATTAATTATTATTTAATATAATACATAAGATGCATAAACATTTGCAATGATTTTAAGGATAAATTAACTTATTTATATCCTAGGAAATAATAAAAATAATTTTTAACAAAATTTATATTACATTAAATACAAAAAAGTAGCTAAGAGCAATTATTATTATAACTGTAAAACAGATGGAAAAAATAGTACTTTTTGGTGATGAAACAGAGCATTCAATTATAACAGGTTCACGTTTACACTTAGCATTTTTTATGTTTTGCGTTCCTAGCAAATGTGCTAAAGGAGTGATGATATGATTTTCCCATAATTTGTTTTTTTCACATACTGTAATATTAGGATTATTATATCCATTTTTTTTTATTTCTAGCCATTCATGGAAATAATTACATATATCATCTTTAATATCAATAATTAGTGAAAGGCTTTCATAGATATTAATACGCATCAAACACCATATTTTATATAGTTTATGATCTTTAATCTTCATTGTATCTGTTTGTGAACAGTACATATTTTTATAAATATTTATATCTACATTATCCCATTTTGAAATACATTCCTCTTTTTCCGAACATGTATTGGAAGTGGTCTACATAGAATATTTTAAATGAAAATAAATAGAAATGAGAAATTTAAATAGTCATTTAAATCATCGAAAAGTAATTATATATATGATAATTTATTTATATATTAAACTATATAAACAAAAAACTTATATGATTATTATAACCATGGTAAAAATATAAGGATTTAGATTTCAAGTTTTGGATGTATGATCAACTTATAACGCTTTATTTTTATGTTTTATCTAGTATTGTCAATATTTCAATGCTCATTTACCTCTTTGTTATATTCTATAAGTAATAAATGTATAATTTCTTACTTTATGAATCTAAGTAAATGATTGTTGATGTTTTATTCTACATAATATATAAAAATGAAACATATCATGTTTTTTATAATTATAGTAATACATATTTAATTATTATACATTTTACACTATTTTACTATATATTCAGAACACATTATACATTAAAATATGTAATATAAATAATCTTAATTGTAATATTTTTTTCATATTACAAGGTTATTTAAAATATTTTATATATTTTGTATTAGTTAATTTTTTTTTGTTAATTTTTTTTAGAAAAATTATGCATTCATATGAGAATTTCACATTTTTTTTTGATACATAGATGCATTTTTCTTTTTTTTTTCAATATATATTTTTATAGATATGTATTATGTAATATGAGATTTAATTATACTATAATGATTTAACGTAATTATTGGAGATGATTTATATATATATATTCATTTTTAACCATCACAATATATATAACAATTTATTTTATTTTTTCCTTTTATGTAACTTTTTATGCTCTTTTACTTACACTATTAAAACATATACATATTTGCATTAAGTATATAAAATAGTATAATTATTATTAGTTTTTCATGAGCTATCGGTGATATATTATATAAATATTTGTAGAACTCTAATACCCTAAT